TTCTGTGCATTAAAAAAACCTGCAACTGATAGCTAATAATTCTAGTCATACCTATGGTAACAATTGGATGCAAGATGACCAAATTTACCACACACTTGACAAGTAACATATGACCTGTTGAAACCACCTCTGCTTGATCTTCCTCCTTTCCTACCAGGGTTCATACCTCCTCTAGCACCTCGAATATTCATACCTCCTCTTCCTGCAAATGGAAGTCTGCTGCTAGGATTATTTGAATTATTCTTGACTTACAATTGTGCAACATTAGCTGTGAGAGTCTCCACTGATTTGTGTTTCTCAATTCTAGATTCTTGTGCAAGAAGTGATTCAATATCACTTACAGTGTATGGATCCAACCTAGATGTAACTGATGTTATGAAAAGATCAAAATCCTCTGAGAGTCCATCGAATGTAGCTTCAATATGATCACTCGGAGAGATCGGATTCCCAATCACAGCCAAAGCATCAACAGTACATTTAATTTTCAACAAGTACTCATTAACAGACAATGAACCTTTCTTTGTGTTCCGTAATTGTGTCTTCAACTGCTTGATTTTAGCGCGAGTCTGAGACGCAAAAAATATTTGAATTCGCTCCCAAGCTTCCCAAGATGTCTCACAGCCAACAACTCTGGTCAACATGTTCTCGGACATTGACGAAAGCATCCAAGACAATAGCAATTAATCTTGTTGATCCCATTCTATAAATCTTCACTGACTCTACCTTGATCTTCATCTTTCTGCATCTTAAACTTCTTTGGAACTGAAGAACTATCCAAGAAGTGTTGTAATTTGTATCCTCTGATCGCAGATATAATTTGCTACTTCCATAGAAGAAAATTGTTCTCTGTTAATCGAACAGAAATCACACGAGTAAAAGTCTTCACCTCAACCTTTTGATTGCTCGGTGTTGAAGCAAGTGTGGTGCTCGACGACACCATATCTCCACTAACAGAATGAGAGTTGCTCTGATACCATGCTAAACATAAAGAGCATTCAAGATAGAAGAAATGAGCAGAGAGCTCTAGGCGAACATACGGCAGGAGAATTCATTTCATTACTTTTCTGAGAGAGAGGTCACTATATTTATAGATACAAGTAAAGCTGGATGTAACTAGCTTATGGAGGGAATCTTGTAACTAACTCTTAACAGACTTCTATCTTAACTAATTCTGTTAACAGGGCGTAATGGCTTATGAAACTTTCATTGGACGTAGAGTACCCCCATTCTAAACTTTGAATGGGAAAAGCATAAATGGTAAAGATATCTTCTTCACATCTTCCATGCTAAACATGTTTCTTATGGAAACAGGGTTGGTTCTTGCATTCTTACAATTCCGATCGTTTCTTTTGATGACTTTTTTTTTGTTGTTGTTGTATTCAAATCAAATTTGTGGTAACCAAATTAAATTATTGTTATAGTAATTGCTTTGGAGATCAAACCATCAAAGGGAAGATTTTGCAGACTTGCAGCACTTGGCACTCCAAAGAGAGCAATCTGTGCATTCTTGCAATTTTGATCATCTTATTTTGGTAAGTGAAAATTTTTTGTTTTATTCAAATCAAATCCTGATAATTATTTTGTGGTAACCGAATTAAATTATTGTTGTTGTAAATGCTTGGAGGCCAAACCGTTAAAGAGAGGACTTTGCATGCTTGCATCATTAGGCAATCAGCTCCATCTGTAACGTTTCAGCTTGCAGAACTATGAAAGTTTAATCTATTGCTCGGATGCCAAACCATAGAAAGGAGGATTTTGTAGAGTTGTAGCATTTGGCACTAACGTTTCAATAATTGCATTGTTGCAAAGCTATCAAAGTGTACTTTATTATGGAAGAACGGTTGGAAAAGGCTTCATGCAAGCATACGGAAATTTGCTATCAAATTCAGGAAGAAGTCGAGATGTTTTCGTGCTTGACCATTTGACTGAAATGGTTTCGGAAGACTTGTCTATGATTGAAAATACTATTTGTGCTAGCAAATGGCACTATAAATCATTGGTCGAGTGCAAATTTGAGTTTACAACAACAACGAGTGGAAAAAGAAAGGGAGTTGGCGTTTTTCCTACTTGTAGCATTACACATCTAACGTAACTTTGTCTTCTGAGGAGAGAGATAGATGGGTTTTAGTCAGAAAGATACTTTATGGTTGCATGCTTTTGCATCTGTATATGTGGTTTTGTTTCATGTAAAGACTTATGTGATTTATTTTACTTTTTAGGAATGCATTCTTGGCTGAAATGGGCTGAACTTCATTCAAAAACGTTTGTGCTTTCTTTTTAAGATAGATTAAGAAGCAAATAAGAAGTGTAACCCATATTATACATATACCAATGAAAATTTTATACATGAAAAAAAACTCATTGCATTCCTTTGTTTTGATCATTTAGAAAAGTTCTATTTGGATTATTTATTTATTTCTAGAAAGTATGGCAACAAGGAATGAATATTCAATTTCCTTCAAAAATGTAATGAATGAATTGAGTTTGAGAATGGTTCAGATTGTCTAATAGGAATTTAGAGCCGTAATTACTCTTAATATTGGTGGAGATTGATGAGGGATAATTTGGCCTGTCCAATTATGACATTTCAGTGACCTCAGACACCTCAGCAATCCTAGTCACCTTGGGCACCTCGGGTCATTCAGCTAAGACCGAGGCCCAAGCAGCTCATTACATCTACCGACCCGCCGAGATGACACGTAGCCTCTTTCTAGAAGCAAGCCCGTTGTCTCCGACCTCCTTGGGGTCACGATGCACGTCAACGGATCTTATCTTCACCCCACCCGATTCGGACGGACCTGGATAAGCCTTATCAGCTTACTCGGAGTCCACCTTTGGGTGCAAAGCTAACTCTGGGTTAGACGGGTCGGTGACGCATCGTGAGGCCTACGACAACTTGCCTATATAAAGGCTTCGCCTCCACCCTCACAAGGTACGTGCGATTTAGCTCTCACATATTCTTGCTTTCAAGCTATCAGCTCTCTCAAAATCTCCATCGCTAGCTTAAGCATCGGACTGTCCACACTAGGTAAAGCACCCCGGAACACTCTGATACTGTCTCTTTGCTGTTGACTCAGCGAATTAACCAGTTCGGCATCCAAGTCGCCTTCCAACAGGGAGTTGCCAAATTGCGCATAATCAGAGACAATTGGAAGTTTTTTGGAAAATTAGCAAGGACAAACAAAGAGACAGGACAAGATGCCTCCCATAAAACAATTAAAAAACTGCAAAGCATTTCAAGATAATAATAAAGGATCTCAACTCTAACGACTTAAGAGTATTGTCATTGGAAATGTAAAAGATTTAAAGGCATATTCAAGTTTGACATACTAAAATTTCTAAACTAGAGAAGCTTAGTAAGGTTGTCCCAACAAATGTCATCAATGAAGATGAAGATCCCGAAGAAGAAGAATTTTCAGTTGGAGAAAATTAGATTTCCTGTCTCAAGACCATGAAAAATAAATATACTCAGTTGGATGGCGTTGCAATTTTTTTTCTCCTTTTCTTTTTCTTCTAATTCTTGTTCCATAAATATGTGATCAATAAGATGAGCAATGATTTGGTCTTCGTGCAGTGATTAGTCCCTGCTTTCTTTGATTTTAGTAGTCCTTTTGTTTCTAGGAGCACAATATAATCAATACACAAAAGATTGGATGTTGGTCCCTGTATATAGGGGTGTCAATTGGACCGGATTTGGTCCAATCCGATTCAGTCTAATGTGAGTCTATTATAAATGGACCAGGTCCAATCCAATCCAATGAATGTTTTGGTGACTGGTCCAATTCAATGTTTGGACCATTCAATCTGTTCAAATTCATTTTGATTTAGATTGGTTTCAACCCAAACCCGGTCCATTGACATATATATTCTTATCTTACATCAATGGACCAAATATTGGCTTAATCCAACCCAATCCAATATAAATTTGTTATAAACAGACCAGGTCCAATCTAATCTAATAAATATTTTGGACTGGATTGTCCAATCCAATATGTCTTGTTGGTCCGTTCAATCCATCCAAATTCGTTGTCCAGGCCCAATCCAAAACCGGTCCATTGACACCCTTACCCTTACCTGTATAGTGCCTTATTAGACAAGTATCACTATGAGCTTCCTAAGGTCAATTGTAGAACTTTGGAGTTTTCAAAACTTTCAGCTCTTAGACTAACAAATCTCTCTCTCTCTTTAACAGTCCAACAAAATAAATAAAAGACAATTGTCAAAGTTGACTTCTGACTACCATCTAGGCATTAATTTGTACGAATACATCAGATCTCTTGGAGGGTAGAAGTTCAGTGTGCTCAACTTACTGCAATAATATCAATTAAACTATCGGATTGACATCTTGAAATACTTAAATTACTCCATTGAAAATAGATATAAATAGGACAATTATTTTTTTATACGATAAAAGTTCAGGTAATTATGCTCCACATTTAGAGGAAATTTGAATGATTGGGAGATAGGGGAATGGATGGAGTTGATACAAATAATCAACACACTGCAAGATCAAATGAAGAAATTCGGGTAGGGGGGAAAATCAATAGTCTTCACAATTAAATTGTTTTAAATCAGGATGAACTGTAAAGAGATGGAGAGATCTCTAGAGTTTACACCACAATTCCTGTATAATTTTATTCATTGTTTACACTGTTATTGAATTAGGATTAACTTGGGCATAGGCACAATGTACACAAAAGATTAGATATTGGTCCCTATGTAGTACCCATATTGAACATGTATCGCTATGAGCTTCCTAACGTCAATTGAAATTTGCTGTAGAACTTTGGAGTGTCCTACCATTGATTTGCATTTTGCTTAAAAACACCAAAAAATATTACTCTTGGTCAAATACGTGTGGTGTGGTTTAGACTACTAAATTTTAACTTTCTCCACATGCCATAATGAATTCCACAAGAAAAATGAATGCATAATTTGTTGTCTCTAGGTGTTGCAAGTTGAAGGGGTAAAAGGAGTAGGGGTAGAGCAAAAATGACATGGGTCCAAGCAGTAAAAAATGATTTGAGAGTAAATAATTCATCAATGGACATGGCATTAAACAGAATAGAATGGCCAAATAGCCAACTCCATATGGTTGGAATAAGGTATGGATGAAGATGATGATGCAATACTTACAAAATCAGCTAGTGAAAATCAGATTGCGTTCAATGGTTGTTTTGACTGCAATGAAATGATGGATACAATGTAGAGTCTAGAATGAGGACCTCTTCCGGCAGTGAAATAGTTCCGCCCATTGCTCTTACACCCACCTAGCACTAAATGAGAAAAACACGCGCACAAATCCATTCCAAGACTGCAAACCCTGAAAATTCCATCTTCCGTCCTAGCAGTTCTGAAACCCTCAAAAGCATGCAACGCCACCTTACGAATTTGAATTACCACGCGAGTCCCCAAGTGTCTGCAGGCAAAAAAATGTATTAGATGACCTATGCATGATTGTTATCATCCAAATAATTTTTACAAAAATAGAAATATTTCAAAACAAAATGCAGTTTTCCCGTCTCAAACCAGTTTTTTGAAGGCTTTGATTCTTGTGCTTTTCTTTGACTTATCCATGTCTGGTTTTGCACGATCCAGGGCCTGGGCCAGAATGCATAATGTTATCAAAGAGCATCGACACGAAGAAAATTTTACAACCATATTAAAACATTGAAAATTAAAGTTGACACTACTCACTGGTAAATTTCTCTTTTTCTATTTTTGGGGATAAAGACACTGTTAAAAATTAAATGCCGGATGGAAAATGATTAAGCAGGAAAAAGGGGAGGGAAAATGAACAATCAATAGCAATTCCATTTGGTATATTCGGTTATCCCATGGTAACTTTCTACTCTGAGAGACGAGGAAGCAGGGTATTGGCATTATGGGTGGAACCATACATCACCTTGGTAACCACAAAAATCTCATTGTTTGGTACAAGCCCTTGGGCCAGAGGTAAAAAATAGCTTTGACAGCAGCTGTAAACCAATTCTGACAGGGTTTGGGGGGAACTTTACCTACAAGATGAAGACTTAATTCAGAATTCAGGTGCTTTTCTGGCTTTGATGGAATAACTAATTCCAAAAGGCCAAAGTTTTCGTTTCTCTTTTGGATTGAACATTGCATAAAGAAAATAAGCCTGGCCCTCTAATAAGGGTGACAGTTAAAAGAATACTATAAGGTGGGCTAAAAGAGAGGCCACCGAGCCATGGATTAGGTAGAAACTAGTTAAGGGTTGTACAATGACAGTTTTGCCTCTAAAGATTTATACTAAACCCCCTCCCCATCTATATTTGTACTGGAGATCTTATCTTTATTACAATACAGCTGATACAGTTATTGACATGTCAAAGAAAAAAGAAACAGCAAAGCCATAACGGAAATATAAAGCAAGATCCCCAAATGCAAGAGGAACTAGAGTGTAAATGGCTTGGCTGATTCACTGGCTAAGGGGTTATGAGGCAGCAATTGTTTCAGGCTTCTATGAAATCTAGGGATTAGTCTTTTGGGCTGGCAGTCCTGCCTTTATGTGCACTACTCTCCTTTCCCCTTTATCATAATAAATTCTTCTATTTGCTGATCAAAAAAATAAAAAACTAGAGTGGTAGGCTGGTCCTGATCATAAAGTGTTACAGAAAATGTAGAAAACATGTAAACACAAGTGTTGCTACTGGGAATAGAAACCAAAAGGATAAAGAAAAAAAGAACTTCTAAGCAGATTGATCAGTACCCTTGTGCCTGATGAAATCAAAGGATATTCCTATGTATTTTATTTTAGTTAACACCTTATAGTTGGGGTAAAGATTTATTAAGTTTGAAGCCCACAATTTATTAAAGCAAAGCATCTGTCAGAGAGAGAGAGAGAGAGAGAGAGATTACAAGAATCAATGACTCCACTCGACGTCTCATTCGGGTATGCATGAAACCTTCAGAACACTGCATGGGAATGTACAGGAGAATAATTGCATTACAAGAAATTATTAAATCACCATATGCACAATAACTAAAGCAATATTCATGTATGCATATAGATAGGTGTGCACAAAAGCATAATAGTCCAAATTATAAAGAATGGTAAGGGGTCATGGAAATACAGGTACATCATGAAGAAAGTAAAGAAGGTGGCTGCAGAGTTGATAATAGTTTTTAATTGGGTAAGGGTTGGTTAACAAAACTCAGCTGTATTAGGGTTTTAATTCCCCAAGAACAATCTGACATAATGCGAACATAGTGAGGCTGCTAACATGGGCGAAGTCAATTTAGGCGTGCTTTGCACTAGTATTGTGCATACAATATTCATTATTCATATCAGTAAAATTTCAATTGTCACTGATCACAAAAAGCTTGGATAATGACACAAAGTTTGAGGGAGGGCATGGAAAATCTTCAATCAGCATGAATGCAAATAAACTAGTTCAGCAGTTGAAAGAGGCAGTCCTCTATCTATCCAATACAGTAAAAACCCTTTAAAAAGGGGAAAGTGGTTCAACTGCTGTGCTTGCACAGCAACCAATTAATAACCACATTAGAAACCACTACGATAAATGCCAAGTCTAGCAACTTAAATAAGGCTTACAGCAGTAAACAAGTAACATCAAATCAATAAAAGAAAAAACATAAAATTCAATGAAAGGATGACCCAAGCTTTTTTTTTCTGCTCAAAGAGATTTTTGAACATGGGCTGCAATACCACTAATCCATAATATTTATATGAAAACCACATACAAGTAGTGAGATGATGCCAATAATCATCACAGACAGGTGAATTTCAGCACTAGACGCCAACATCGTGTGGTTAGGAACCTATATAAATGGACGTTCCTATTTAGATTGTTATGAACATCCAATCAATTAAGTTTGCAGCTAAGCCAATAGATACCCAACATTTTGAAGACATTAGTTAAGAACAACTGTACATTCTTGTTCCAGGGATCGAGGAATGCAGGTATAACCTTGTACCTACTTTGTATTATGTGTTTGGTCAGCCATTAGTGCTGTCCATCCTTCTTTGCATACGTTATTTGAGGCTATGTACTCTCTTTTTATATATTATTATCAATACAGTTTTTATTTCATTACCAATATAAGAAAACTTCTTCCTTTGTATAGCCTTGGAATTTTGAACTGTTCTGCTTATCTTCCAAAAGCTGACAAGCAAATCTATGGGCTTAATGTTCAGTTAATTGTCCACCACTCCACCCAAGCTCGTCCCAACACATGGAAAGTCAAAATAGACCATTTGTAAATACATCACATGAATGTGTGAGAGAGAGAAAGGTGGTAAAGAAAATTCTTACCTTTACATGATAACTAACATATGCATGAAATGTTGACAAGTTCCAAACAGTTCTGTCCAACTTTTTGCCTTCAACATGGCGGGGGGAAATAACTGCAGAAAGATACTTTGTACTAAGAAATAAGAGGATGAATATAAAATTGGCTCAGTATTCTGAAACTACCAAAAGTAACAAATCCAGCATTAGCAGATAATTCTTGAGCTGAAGCTGCTTGCAGTTCTGAAGGAGGAGTTGGAGACCACAAACAAGAAGGGGCATAATTGAGTCCAGCTGTGCGTCTTGCCTCCACAAATTCCTGCACAGACACGATTATCTCCCCAGTCAAACTTTAATGTGCAAATGTACGGAACTACAGAGTATAGGCACAACACAAAGAGCCAAAAAGATATATTTGAATTTTTATTTGAAGATTGCACCAATCCAAGGACACAAGTATCATTCCACTATTTTGCACATATATGTCCATAAATGAATTTATATCCATATCAATAACTCTGAAGCTGAACCTCAGCAGACAGCAGACTTGAAGAAACCAGACCAATAGTGGCCAAGGAATTGGCAGTCAATCATATTTACTGAAGCTGAACCCCAAAAGTGCTACAAAACCTGATGGAGGGAGGGGAAAGGAAGGGAAGAAAAGTTTTCCCCTGCATGCATGCCAAGCTACTTTCTATTTCCTATTTTAATATCTAATAATTTTATGCATAATGTTAAGTGGTATTATAGATCAACAGATTCAAACTGCACCATCCTTAGTCGCTTCAGTCCCAATTCAATAAAGTCTTCCTACACAATATGAGGTTAGCTAAATGAATCCTGTTCCACCATTCCACTAAGTGCCATACTGCCATATGCATTTGGGCTCTTAAGTCATTTCTCACTAATTTAACTCGTGTTCTTTTTGGCAAGCTCCTAGCTCTTCTAGACCCTTCAACTTGCTTGGTCTCTGGTATAGTTTTTAAACATTAATTTTAAGAACAATGCATTCTTTTTTAGCAGCAGAAAGTATATTGCATTTCACTATGGATGACAGTGGGAGTGTGTAGTAGGTACCCATTAACTTGACTGCTCCATCACCATCAGAGTAGCATAATAGATTCACATGGTGAACTAATTCAGAGATTTTTCTTCTTTTACATGAAAAAGAAAAAAGAAGGGAAAATATACAAGGAGTATACTTGCTTTGTGGCCCATAATAAAAGAACACTTTTAAATTCCATTAAAAAAACTATAACAAAAAAAGCATCTAAAAATTCTTCTATATACCCCCTAAACATCTCACCAACCAGCCAGGCAGGCAGCCACTCTCATATTCTTACAACTCCCCCAAAAGACAGCTTAAAGAAAATCTTCCTTACCAGAACTAAAAAGAACAAAGAGATAACTCCTAAGCATGCAGATTAGTGTAATTTTCTACCCCCATCATCCAAATGACCAAATAGCCTTAGTCTCTCTCTCCAAGCCATACATTAGCCTACCAAACAGCTTTAAGAAACTTAAAACCATACAGCACCTTCCTACTCATCCAACTCATTATTAGGAGAATTTTCAGAAGGAAGACAGATGACCTCACCCAAGAATATAGAATTTTTAAAATGCTCTCCTGTTCTAATTCCAAAAATACCCTTATGGCAAATTCCTCACCACCCAGGAAAAAAAAACAATCCTGATGAAATAAGATATTTTTCCATGGATGACACTTAGAAGGGATGGCTGGTAGTGGCAGGTAAAAAGAGTTATTCCCCTCAAACTTAACTTCGAAAGTTATTCCTTGTAACCTGAGTAATGGAGGATACTTCAGAAAGTTCAGAGAGGAAATTACTAGGCATAGATAAGTTTATAGAACCAGCTGGATCTTCAAACTAAATTTTGAAAGCTATTCCTTGGAAAACTTGGGACATCAGGTATTGCCAGAGACTTCAGAAAGTCCACAATTGAGATCATCATTGTATGCCCCAATGCACTAGAAAAGCAATAAGAACAATGAAGTGCAAGGGGTTCCTAAAGCTTGAGGTAAATTTTCTAAGGTGAGACATCACTTTTACAAAAAGAAACAAAAAATCAACAACAAAAAAGAAAAAGTTATACATGAATATGAAAATCTAAAATCTGAAAGAAAAAGCATTCCAAAAAGCCTCATTACCTCAATTGCTTAGAGTAATCATATTATTAACACAAAGCATTAAAATCCTACATAGGCTAAACTGTTTAAACTCTAAGTATTATAGCTACAACCTAAAATATTAAACTATCTGTATGTGCAGGGATAAGGCTCAAACATCTTCCCTTCCCAGACCCTGCATTGGCAGGAGTCTTGTGCACTGGGTTGCCCTTTATTCAACATCAAATGCAAGGTCAACTTATCAAAACCAACAAACAAGCAAGTAATGTGTACCTGACTTCACGCAAGGCACACCCCACAAAATGAGCCTTGCCCATGAACCTAAGCCACCTGGGACATGCCTTTTAAAATGCCGATATATCAAAGGTTGTCTGGCTGATGGATTTTGGCTAAAGAAGAGATTATGTTCTTATTACAAGGTTCTACATTTATTTCTTTGTCGGAATTTGACAGGACTTGGGCCAGGAGCAAGGTTTGAAGTATCAATACGATATGCCCACTAAATTTTGAGATCTGATAGATTTTATTTGTTTTAGATAATATAACATGACATGACAGTTCTACTGACAAGAGATCAGGAGGAAAAAAAATAATAAAAATGAGTTTTGGTTGAATGAAACTCTCAATACACAAATTTTGCATATTGAGAGTATTGATACTCCAGTCTGAGCCTGTCTTACACCACCAGTCTCAAGCCCAGATAAAGGAGGGTCGTGTCAGGTTGGCAACTGCGACTAAAACTTTTGCCGAACCCTTATAGATGATGAGAGTATCGATACTTCAAACTATGTTGAGGAGTGACTCACATATTGTGATTGGATGGATGCAACAAGGAGATCTAGTCCATAGACCCTTTGCCATGCTTCAATCAGGGAGGCCATCTCATTGAAATCCATTGTTAACATCTCGTTCAGATTGATTCTTCAATCAGCCAACTTAAGTAGATTGTATTGCTAGGGAATAATGAGACTTGAGCTGTACTTTTTTTCTCTTTGTTAAGAGAGGGGAGTTGGTCCCCCTAGGGTAATGGGGTGATAATGCCATTTATTTCCCATGGTAATTGTGCTGATCAGCAAAGGTTTCTTGGGTCTTGTCCCCTGAACCAGGGGACTTGGTGATGGTACCTTCTTTTATTCTCTTCATTTCTAGTTTAAAAAAAAAATGTTTTTGTTTCTGTCAATAAAAAAATATAAACACAAGTACAAGATGTACTTATTCCTTTTTACCTGCAAAAAGGAGGTTGCCAGAACAGTATCTATGGGGTCCTTGAATCTCATAGGAAATACCACTGTCACCTTATCTGCCTGCCAAAACACAGCATGTTATTTACCATCACTTCCACAAGCACAAAAATACTTTCTGCATGTACTTATTATTAAGAAAAGGGATTCATCAAGCTAAACATTCTTCCAGAATCAGATACTTCAGGCTCAACCATATAACAATGGAGGAATGTGCAATTGAAGAATAAAATTGATAATATGAACAACTTTCACTTTGTAAAAAGGCATATTAGAAAGCACCAAGACATTTTCGTGAAGCAGGTGAAGAGAAAATTCATAAGACCAACCAAAGGAATAACTTTCCTCAGTCAGATACCAACTTATACCACAGCAGTCAAATTTTTTAGGTAAACATTACACCATTCATGCATACAATTAAATAGAAGTAATCAAACTGCAAAAAGTAACTAAAAAATAACTTCAAAAAAGATATTAAGCTTTCAAGAGAAGAATCCAAAACAAATAAGAGAAGTATTTTGAACCTGAGGTACAAGAAAAAAGGACTCCTTAGGCCGATGTACAAGAGCAACAAGCTGATCTACATCAGGAGCAACTGTCCTTGAAGAAAGATGTTTTAAAATCAATCTTAAGGGTGCTCCAAGGACCACTTCTCTAACAGATGCTATCTTTACCAAAAGAGCATGTTGTTGATCTGCATAAATGGCAAAAAATCAATTATCATTATGGAAAATTATGTGAATACAGAAGTAAAAAATCACAAGTTCTAAAATAGACAACCATGAAGAAATGGTTGTGATAATATAATAGAGTGGCAAACAAGTTCACAAAATTAGAGAAAGAAACCCAACACAGAGTAGTCAGCATCTGAGTTATGCAAATTCAGTTTTTTTCATGAACCAGGCTTCTTTAGTGCAATAAAAATGCTACGAATTCAGTATTTATACATATATGAGATTATGTACACATGGGCTTGATTTTTTTGGCCTTTTATACAAGATTAAAAGAACTCTATTAAATCAAACAAAGCTTTTATAATACAATATCCTAGCCTGACAACACGCTAGACAAAAACCATCCCAAAAGAAAAAGGTTAACAACTGATACAACAAAATCACTCAATTAAGGGAGTTAACTGATACAAATCCGTCCTTTCCAACACCTTGCCTGGTTAGGTCATCAGCAAGGGAGTTAACAAATCTCAATAGAAAATAACTAAAGCCCTTGGAGTAGAAAATAACTTATCCTCAATAGAACCACCCTACTCAACAATCTGAAGTAAACTTGAGGATTTTTTTTAATCTCATGTTGCCCAAAGTGCCTGGCAGTCCTAGGTTTCTCAATTAAGACTAATTCAGATTTAATTTAATGGAGCCTTAAGAAGGGAAGCCAAAATCTGTTAAGGATCTCTTTATATGCATGAAAGAATGCAACATGAGCCAACCTCTCATAATGTCATCAATACCGGTCTTGTCACTTTTCTATCCTTGTTAATGGAGTGGCAAAAAACTTCTTCCCAGCTTGCAGAGGGTTAAAGCAAGGTGATCCTTTCTCACCCTTTTTACTTTAGTGGCAAATGTTTTTAGTACACTCCTCTATAATGCTGATAAGGAAGATGAGATTAGCAAGAAAAGCATTGCTCTTCTAAGTGGTTGTGGTGCTTCCCCTTGGAGAATGATAGGTTGTGGCACAAAGTGGTTTCAAGTATTCAAGGGCTGTCAAGAAATGGATGGGATGCTTGCATTCTGCGAAGGGACTAATCAAGCAACACCTTGGAAAGCAGTGCATGGTATCCTCCCTCAATTCTTGAGCATATCAGGTATGATTTGGCTTCTGGTAATAGGATTAGATTCTAGAAAGATGTGTGGGTCGGGGAGCTTCCCTTAACAGATGTATTCCCTTCTTTGTATGCTCTCTCAAGCCTTAAAGAGAAACCTGTGTCTAATTTCATTGGGGTTCCTTCTTCTTCTAGGGTGGGATGGAATTTGGGGTTATTGAAAAGCTTTAGAGTCCGAAATTGTATCAGTATCAAGCCTACTAAATATATTGGATAACCTGGTCTTTGATGATTCTGTGGATGATAACCAGGTGTGGTCCCCCAATCCGTCAGGGTTGTTTACTTGCAAATCCTTCTTTTCTTCCCCTGTGACCACCTCTCCGTCCTTGCCCTTTCCTGTGAAAGAAGTATGGTGTGCCCCTATCCCCCCAAAAATTGGTGCCTTTTGTTGGGAAGCATATCATGGGTGCATCAACACACGTAACCTGTTGCAAAAGAAGAGACCAAAGTGGTCCTTGTCTCCAAACTGGTGCATTTTCTGTAAAGTGAATGGTGAAACTGCTTACCACATTAATCTCCTGCCCTTCTGTTTGCTGTATTTGGGAACGGTTTTCTCTTTTTGGTTGCAGATGGATCCCTCCTATTTTTTTGAAAGGCTCTTTAGCCCATCTTTTCTCAGAGGCACAGAGAAGAGAGGTAGAATATGGTGGAAGTGTGCAAGGGCAGCAAGTGTGGACATTTTGGGAGGAGAGGAACTTAAGAATATTTGAGGATGGAGAAAGAAATAAGGGGGAAGTTATTGATATTGTTACTATAAGAGTAGCACACTGAGAACCTTTTCAGCAGTGAAGGAGTGTATATTAACAAGAGCTATACATTGGCTGAGAACCCTAGACTCATTTAATCCTTTTTTCCTTTGATGACTTTTGGAGAAGCTGGGCTGTAATAGCTAATATATCCTTGAAGAAAAATAGATCTGTAGCAATTTGGCTACCCCCCTCGAAAGGCTTTACTAAGCTGAATTTTGATGGGAGCAGACAAGGCAATCCAGGATCATCAGGGATTGGAGGAATTTTGAGAACTGAGAAGTACAATATCCTATCACTGTTTTCAGGCCCAGTGGGAGTAGGTGACTAAACAAGGGCTGAGTTGTTGGCTGCTATACAAGGAATTCAGATTGCCAACCAACTTGGGATAGAGAAATTACTGATTGAAGGGGACTCTAAGGTGATTCTGAGTTGGTTGTTGAACCCTGATTCAATTACTTGGAGCTATAGGGGTCTTATGAAAAAAATAAATTAAATGCTTAACAAGTCACATGCCAATTAGAGTCCAATGGGTGGATAGGTCGGCAAATTCTTTCACTGACTTCCTTGCCAAACAAGGGGTATCCAGGGAAGAGCTATTTTGGGCAACCTTGTAATTTTTCTCGTCCTTTTTTTGAGGGGGGGTCTCTCTGTAATGTCTAGGAGGGGCTGCACCCTGTGCCTCTCCATGGGATGCTCGTAACAGCTTATTCTATTTGATTAATGAAATTACCTTTAAATTATCAAAAAAAAAAAGAGTGTAGCACACTAGGTGAAGACTTTGAAACTGTTTTCAGATTTTTCAGTGGATGACTTCTTCAAAAATTGAAGGTCGATAGCTCTTTCTTCTTCTAGAAAACAAAATCTCATTGAAGCAATGGTCTCCCCCAATTGATGGGTGGATGAAACTTAATTTTGATGGAAGCAGGTTGGGTAATTTGGGTCCATCCAGGATTGGAGGAGTGATTCGAGATGAAGGTGGGAATATTTGTGGTTTGCTTTCGGGACCAATTGATCAAGGTGATTCATTGAGAGCAGAATTCATGGCTGCTATTGTTGGGATGCAAAAGGCAAAGAAAATGGGAATCACAAGGCTGATTGTAGAAGGGGACTCAGATAATCATTGGTTGGTTGAAAAGTGGAGAAGGGGTGTTGTGGCAATTTAGAAATGAGTTCAGGCGGTTCAAGTTGCTAATCAAGACAGATGCACATTCATGTAAGATGGGCTAGAAGGTCTGCTAATGGCTTGGTGGATAGATTAGCTAAGCAAGGACTACATAGTCATCATTTGTTTTGGGCTCAATGTTAATAGGGTAGTGGAATGTTTTGTTGTAAAAGGTTGTGGCTCTAACAACCTCTTGTTGTAATCCCTAATTCATTAAATTTTAATGAAATTCTTTGTGTTGATGATAAAAAAAGATGAGATTAGGGGTTGGAGAGTGGGCAGAAACAATTCTCCAATTACTCACCTACAGTTTGCAAATGATATCATAGTTTTTTTGTGAAGTGGGAGATACTAGGAAGATGAAAAGATTAAAAGAACTGATCAAGAAGTTTGAAAGGATGTCAAATTTGAAAATCAATTTAGACAAGAGTTGCATAGTAGGGATTAATATGGAGGAGAATGTCTTAAGTGTGGTAACGGGTTGCCCAGAGTGTTCTATCACCCCTTGGCCTTTGACCTAAGTGGATCTTCCATTAGGTGCCAACCCTAAGGAGAGCAGATTTTGGAACCCAGATACAAAAAGATATGAAAGGAGATTGTCCGCTTGGAAGAGGAACTATATTTCACTAGGAAGTAGGATTACCCTAATAAAATCAACCTTGGCTAACCTAGCAATCTACTTCCTCTTTGTTTTTAGGATTCCACCAAGGAAGAAAAGAAATTAGAAAAAATCACAAGGGGTTTCTTTTGGGAGCCAAGAGAGGCTAGAAAAGACCACCTAATCAAGTGGGAGGTTGTGTGTAAAAATAAGAAAAAGGTGGTTTAGGTATTGAGAATGTGAGAAAGAAGAATATGGTTCTCTTAGGGAAGTGGTTATGGAGATGGCCATTAGAGAGGGAGAACTTGTGGCACAAGGTAGTGGACAATATTCATAGGAGGTTGGAGAATGGTTGGGATGTTGGTGTACCACATTGGACTACTTTGGTAGCAACTTAGAAAGCAATCCATAGTTCTCCATCAGTTCCTTAGGTTTATCAGGTATGGTGTTTGCTTAGGGAATTTAATTCGGTTTAGTAGAAAGCCCTATGTGCTGATTCGGCCAAGCTTCTTGTGAAAGGAAGAGGAGAAAGTTGGGGGTTTCAGCAATAGACAGAGGAAAGGGAAGAAAATGAGAAGAAGGTCAACTAGGATAGTGATTCATAACCCTAGCCGCCAGCCCCTCATTCTATTTATAATTAACTTAAATATGAGATATTACAAAGATGCCCCTAGTAGGGCAGCAACTCAAACTAAGTACTTACAATTCTTTTAAAAAAAAAACTAATGGGCCCAAGGCCCAACAACTTCTTAAT